ATTTATATTCTCTTATAGTTGAAAAACAAAGGTCGCTGGCTCCATTGGAATGAATTAATTAAAAGTACTAATTTAGGAGATAAAAATGTCAAGATTCAAGACATCATAGTCCCTACTATGGACACAATTAGATATACATTTCTCATGGATTTGAGCATTACCTATGCAAAGTAAGGAACTCTGCTATAAACATGAATTTTAAATGTAACAATGCCATTCTAATAGGATTATAGAAATTTTGAAGTAAACTTTAACGTCATCCATTTTCAGATAACTGAGACTTTGGGGTTCTAATTGACATGTCCAAAGTGACATCTATTGCTATTGACAAATCTGGAATCCAGGTTTCCTGTTGCCCACCCTGAAACCCTTGCCATCATACTTTGTTGCCTTGTAAGCCACCTTGTATTTCTATTTGTAGCAGCAGACTGAAAGTCAATGCGGTGCTGTTGTTAAAAAGGTATGCATTCTTCTTTAAGGTTCAGTGTAGTCCTGAGATATCAAACTAACCATGATCTTTATTCTCCCATTACACTTAGCATTTTTCATGTATGTTCTATGCCAGTTCTGGATCCCATAATTTAAGATGAATATTAAAAACTCAGACTTAAATCAGAAGAGTACATCAAAAAAGAGTACATGAAACTGATGAAAAGCTTAGACATGTACTGTATGCATATTCATACCAACTTTCTTAATAACATTTTATAGTTATTTTTCTTTTAAAGTAGGCATAATTTATCACTAATATTATTTAAACTAGACAAGTTTATGTTTTGTTTTCTTGATAAAGAACCTATTAGTGCATTTTGTGACCAATTTATCTTGTTTTTTAGCTATTAGGGAAAATTATTTTATCCCTGTTTTGTATCTATAGTTGCATTTTTGCACTGAGAGGCTAATATTAAAAATTTTCTTAGGCAAGGAAGGCAATTGCCAATTCTGGGAAACTTCTAGTATGTGAGTTCTTTTGTGCCAAGAACCACTTGTCAGAATAATATTTTTATTGTTCAA